AACTAAGAAGGAGGAAGACAAATGAGTCACCACCCCTTTTCCAATGTTGTGTGCAAAAAATCAGTATTAATTCAGTCCAACTATTCTTTTAAATCAAAGCTCTTGAAAAAAAATCAGTATACATCTTATATGACAAGTTTTACTAACCATACAGTACATCAGCATTTCCTTTGAAAAGCTTAGACATTTCTAAGCAGTTTTAAAACAAGCAAGTATATAATGCTATCTGCATACAGAAATACAGTACACTCACACAGGCTATCTTAAACTTCTCCAATAAACAGTCATGTCAAAATCTACAGTTTACAGAAAATACAAAGTTAGTTTTAACAAAAGCAAAAATGTTTGTTGTAATTAATTAAAACCTGTTTTCTACCATTAATAGCTTGTATTCATAAAGACACTAAGGCTGGACAAATTAAGTATTTCCTAGAAGCTCAAAATGACACAAAGTTTTCTAACTATGAAATGGCATGCAAACATACTGATTTGTTGATGGTTATTTCTCTCTCACTACGGAAGATTTACTAGATCAAAATAAAGCAGGTACTTTTACATGTTATACAATGACCTCTCCCTCACACTAAAAATGTCACATACAGAAAATTTTCTCAGCTGTCTTTGACACAAAAGCTGCTCCAGTAAATTTGAATATTATGCCCTTCAGATCCTCATGACCAGTGCAACAATTAATCAGCTTTCAGAAAGCTTAGCAATATCTAAATTTCCCAAATTTCCTTTACAGAAAATATATACAAGTTTATAAATCCATGGCAAGGGCATTACAACTATATCAACATAAACTCATTAACTGGATTGAGAAGATACTTGTATTCTTGTGAAGACCCTATGGCTGCTGCCCATTCAATAGTTCTATCAAGGCACTGTAGAGTCATTAAATCTCTAGTATTCTCCAAGATGTGCTGAAGAATACTGTAAATGTGTTTGAAGTTGTTAAAAAGCCCTGAGTCAGAACTTGTGTATTTACCACAGGCTTAGCTATAAAAATGGCACACCCTAAAGCTTCTGCAAACAGTTTAGATTTGTCAACACAAATAAAATATGAAATGCACACAAAGACAACACTTTGAATTCCAGCAACTTATGCACAGGAATACAATGTACTTTGTGGCAAATCACACATGGCTATTGTATGCAATTTACACAATAATTTTATAAAGTAAAAAAAAACTCTGCAATGTATTCAGACATCAAAACTGATGAAGCAAAAGAAAACTGATGCATTTCCCACCCCTTCGCAAAGACAACAAACTGCTAGAGAAGAATTCAGCACTTTGACAGAAAGGAGGTAGCACTGCTAGTTAGACTGTAGTGTTGTTGGGGTTTGGTTTTTTTAAGTGAAAACTTGACCCATGCAGCACAAAGAACAGGATAGGCTCTTCGGTTCACCAGCTGCTACTGGAAGAGTAAAATTAAATTTCTGACAATTAGTTTTGTAGAGGAAGCTCAGATCACTAGCTGAAAGCAGCTTCTTCAAACAATTTAGTGTTTACACCAACTGCAATTAATACTGCTAAAGATAATTACATGTACATAAACCTTCATGTCTAGAAAATATCTACACATTAAGTACTTAATTATTTTTAAAAGACCATTTCAGGTCTTTAAAAGAAGCTAAAATACCAATTGTAAGACTATGCTAACAAGGCACAAGTACTTGTGCAAATCTGCTATATTCTCAGCCAGTCCAAGTTAAGAACACCACCTTCTAATTAAACTTTCACATTTACAAAGTAACTTGTTTGCTATCTCACCAGTGTAGTTTTTATGATCCACTTCAGGAAAAAGGGATTTCTCCAAACCCCAACATACAAATACACAGTAATCCAACAAATGCAAAGTAGGTAATAGCAGCCCAGATTTTGGGAAGTGCATATAAGCTTGGGCCACAATAAGTGATGATACAAGTTTTGAAGGGAAAAAAAAGTCAAAGGTAGTTATACAAAAGTTAACAATCTACAACTGTGGTACTACATATACTACCACATACAACTACTAAATTTATTCTGTTAACCTCTTAGGTTGTCTTTACACTTTAAATCCCTGCATAGTGATATAATGTCTCTTAACAAATGGGAAAGAAAACATCTTAAACATCTGAGCATACCTCACACTGAACAATACATATTTTTAGGTATCTTGTTTCAAGAAACAAATGGAGGGATTTCATTCCATTTAATTTCAAAATTATTATTAAATGCTGGGCACTAGACATAACAAACCTTACAACCCTTACATGCTACAATTTTACAATAAATTAAATGCCCAACTGATTTTTCTAACTTTTACTTTGCTCAGGCGAAATTTAGACTTTAATCTTTTGCTGAAGACAGATGCACAGTGATATTTCCTTAGCTCTCCTACTTGTTATGATCCCCTTTGGCTTTCATGTGAATTTCTCATCCTTCAAATATGTGCTATCCAATTAAACATTCGTTCCCTGTGCACATTGCACACATAACCACAAAATAAAGTGAATGAGCTTTTTTGGGCTCCTTAACAATACTAGCTCACCTTCTACATCTGACTGAAAAGAGAGGGTCTGAATATAAATATTTATTTTCATAAATGATACCAGATTTGCAAGCATTTTTCCTCATTTAAGTTTTTTGAAAGGAGGTATCGTCATCTACATACAAGATACAATACTCCTGTAAATAACAGACCTGTATAAATAAATTAAGCATCCTGGTTAGCTCTCCTAGTTTTTCTAATTCAGTTGTTTTTCTTGGCACCAAAATAGCACCAAGAGGACACAGTTCAGTTTCAACTGGCACACAACACTGCTGAATGAATCCAATCACAAACTCCTATGCAGTCACATACATCTGCTGTGAGAGCAGTATGGGACACAAAACTGCTCCTACAGCAATTCCTTCAGTTGTTGTCTCCATTTCCATAGGACTGTGGAGAGCATTCAAGTACTGAGGGTGTTAAACAGTAACTTGCATCTTATATCCAGTTTCCTAACCAGGATGCTTCAGATCTGTTCTAACTCAGCTGAACTATTCAACTGATGCTAAGCTGGAATACTTTCAAGTAATTCTGGCTTGTTCCAGCAAAAAAGAATCAGGAAAATGGATACTGCTCTACTGAGGTTTCAGTTTTGAGTTGTGTTATCAAGAAGAGATCCACCCTGCATCTGTGCAGCCAAGTTTGCAGAGGTTCCCTTAAAGAATTATGAGAACAAAATATGTCTGCCAGAGATAGAGGAAATCAAGGTACAAATCTGATGCATGACAGGCTAAAACTCAGAATGGATCATTAAATGGCATATCCTATTACAGAAGTATTTCCAAGGGAAGCCTGACAAGAAACTGAAGCCTACTATAAAAGGTTCAGCTGTAAAACATGCTACCAAAAAAAAACAAAAACCAAAAAACAACAACAGCAGCAAAAAATTACCCCAAAAAACACCACAAAAAAAAAAAAAAAACACCACAAAAAAAAAAAAAAAAAAAAAAAAAAAAAAAAAAAAAAAAAAAAAAAACCCCAAAAAACACCACAAAAAAAAAAAAAAACCAAAAAACCTTAGTATGTATTGGCCAAATGAAAATTGCAATGAACACTCAGATGCACAAAGAGTTCAAGTGGAGATACCAAAATGCTGAACTGAAACAAGGCCTTACATCAAAAACTTTCCAAAACTCCATGAAATTTTGGTATTTTAGAGTAGGAATCAAGAAGCAAAAAAGGGGAAGGCTGCTTCATTTGGTCAAGAATACAGATGCACATTATCTGAGAACAAATGACCACTAGTATACAAAATAAACCAGACTACTACAGTGACTCCAGATTGTGATTGTGTCCAATGAAAGAACACTGAAAATAATGAGGAACATTTGGAATGCTGGATGAGGATTAAAGATGACTATTGTAAGGCTGTGTATTACACCACTTCATGATGTTAAAAGTCCCTCTATACAGACTTTTCCAATATATCACTGTACTTGTTTCCTGGAAAACTTTTTTCAGTGTTCAAATCTTATTGCTTAAAGGTTTGTCTATCTTTACAGTTTATTAGTAACAGTCTTCTGAGACATTTGCCAACAGTTGCACAGTTCAGGCATATCAACATAAGTTTCAGAAGACAGATTGATTTATCTGAAAATACCACAATTAAAACATTATCCTTTCTTGGATCTTTCCCTGAACTATCCTTTTATCCACATTTTTAGACATAAGCAATGAGAAATCAATGAAAAATTAGTCTTAGCTGCAAGTAAGGCACCTAAGTAACTCCAGCATGGATTTCTTTACTGTTCTGCAAGAGCACGTCCAAATGAAGTCTGCACAATGGCAATGGGCTACATAACTATGCACTCAGAAAATTGTTGAATCACTTAGGAGTAAGCAGAGATTCCTTTTAGCTACAAGAAATCCTTAAATCAACATATTTTCTACTACCAAGAAGGATGAAAAGATACATTTGTTTTCAAAATGTGAATAGTTTGCAGTCTGTAACAGTAGCATTTTGGGGGTCAGGAGGAATAGCTCTTGATCATATCAGGGAAAACAAACTCCTTCAGCAAAATTCAGCTCAGCTAGGCACAGCTCACAGAATTCACTGTTCTGTCAGCAATATCTTCATTTGAAGTATTATTCAGTAATGCTCACAGGTAAGTTCTGGTGTTAATACCCCACTTAGATGAATAATCAATACTGAATATTCTCTTTTGCTGTTGACACTGTTTGCCTGGAGACAATAAAATTCACTTATAAACAAAGGAAATTTTACAAAATCTGTTTTTTCTGAATTCACAGATCCACAATTTTTAAACGGCTCCGCATGTGTGTGTTTCTACACAATGGATCAAATTCAATAATCTAAAAGGGATAACTGACACACTGCTCAAATATTCTCCTTTCCACTCAAGTTAAAAGCAATTCCATACAAAGTCAAGTAATCAGCACAATTATGAAGCTCGCTATTTACGTTACTTAGTTTGAACCTGTTAGCTCAAAGTGCCGTTTTGGAAACATAATGCTTCTAAAACAGATTTTTTTTTTTTTAGTTTTTGCTACACAACCCATCCTCAGGAACAAAGGGCATGAAATCAGAATTACCCTAACATCGCATTCTGAGGCATGATCTTATGGGAATAGCCTATCTATTATTACTGTGTATATATTTTGTATTGATTTTTCATGGCTGTGTATTTCAAGACAAATTAATTGTGAATCAGAACTGGCACAGGAAATGCTGACACAAAAAAAGCATAAAGCAAAACTCAAATCCTAAATATTTATGTTTGGTAGTAATTGACAATATAAAAAAAAAATTCCCTTACATCACTTGACATCTGACACATACAGGATACACATCAACAAAACCAAAATAAGATTGTCCGTTTAAACTTTAAGAAGAAGACAGAAACAAAATGAAAAAAAGACTGCTTTACATTAGCATTAGGCTTACACGTTTTTTAAGAGTAAAGCTACAAGCTGACTATTCAAATACTGTTTGTTTCTTTTATTTGGTGCGTTCACAGTCTTTAAACAATTACTATGTAACAAATCTGTGCTACAGTATTAGAAATGTTTTCATTAGAACCCTCTACTACCATTCAAATGAATAGAGGGTTAAAAGCATCAACATGACCTTACTCTTTCACAACACAGTAAAAGACCCTGGCCCCTGTTTAGTACAAAAGGATCCTCCGTTCAATTGCCTTGCGGCATATGGGGCACTCGCTCATTCGGTCTCCACAAAGCTGACACGTTCCATGGCCACACAGGAAGATCATGTTCTTCAGGCGGTCCAAACAGACAGGACACATCGTCTGCAAAAGATTTTGACAGGTTACTAGCCAGTGACAGTAGTTATATGGTACTGAATATGCAACATATAAATTGCTGAAATTCAACAACAAATATGTCCTAAGCATAGCAGATAACTGCCATGGCCACTAAACTATATTTTTTTTAATCCCATTTTTGTTCCACGTGGACTTAAAATATATAGGCTGTTCCTACCCCTTCATGACACAAACAACTATGTAGATTTTTTCTAAATATGATTTCTTTAATTAAGGCAATCCAGTAATAGGATGACATCATATTTTCAATATAATTATGCAAACGTGCAACATTGAAACACTCTTTGGAAATATTCTCATTTACATAATGTAATCTTCCAGGGAACAAAACATAACCAGCTTGATGTATGCAATGTTTGGGTAATGATTTACAAACTTCTCAGGCTAGCTAGCCATTCATATACTTACCTGTAAACACCAAACACTCAACACCCGCAGAAGGAATAAAATTGTTGTATAATCAATATGATACGCAAAAGTTAGTACTTTGTGGAAGTTATCTAGACTTTCAACCAAAAGAACACCTCAGGTTTCAAATGAAGAACAGTTTAGTAAATCTGTAACCTTCACTCATAACAGCAGCACAGCAAACTTTTAAAATCAGTTTTAATTGCTGAACGTGAAGTGATGGTCAATGCCCAAAGTTCTTCAACAGCAAAATTCATTTTGCACCAAGCCACTAAGGAACAATGTCCTTCAACTTTTGTGCAGAAATTGAAGCTTGCATATGGCATGTTCCTTCACCATAAACATATTGCAGCCATACTAGGATTTCATTTATAACAGTTTATCAAATGTTAGTAAATGAATAGATGTTACAGCAGATGAAAATTAACACCATACTGTAGAAAAAAAATCAAATCTAAGATGTCCTCTTATCTGAGACATACAACATATATCTAACAATTACAAACATTGATTTCGTACATAACATGAAATACTGACAAAGCTCGTATTTCAAATACAAATTCATTTTATCACCATCTTGCACCTGTGACTTGCTTCTGTACTCATCACTGGGGCTTCATTTCAATTTGTTCATTGCATGAGAGAATCCATACCAAGGTACCCTATTCAGAAAAACCCTAGAGCACATTTTCTATGAAATCAACAGGTATTACTTCCTAGAGTAAACAGCTTAACTGAAGACCAAAAGAATTCATCATAATTCTGTGCTTAAGAGTTTAAATTGGCATGGAATCTGGCCAAATCATTATTTTAATCTCCAGGATACTAGTATAATGGGCTAGCAAGAAAGTAAAACTTCCAGGTAAAACCTTAAGTAATTTTATGCTTAAAAAAAGCCCTGAAGGGTGGTGTGCTCCAGCTTTGCCAGAATTTCCACAGTATTGTAACAAAACATTTTCAAATTAAAAATTTACAGAAACCTTTCCTGTCCGTCAGTCCTGCTCATTTTTCTTCTCTCACAAAATCATCACCTTCATATCCTGCACATCAATAGGACCTTTAGAATATTCCTCCTTCAGTAACTCTCAGACTTAAGGTATCAGTGAAACAGCTATTTCCAATGCAGTGAATACATAGCTGTGTGACATGTGTCTATAACTTGGCAGCACTGGCGTGATGACATTTCACAAAGGACTGACAAAGCAAACACTCATCTTATCTTTGGGAAAATTCCTTATGTGTAGCCTTTATTCTGTGTTTTGGCTTATTTGCTTTTGTGTCTAAATATAGGATCAGAATTACATAAGTTACAAGGGTCTGTGTATCTCCAAATGCTACACCATCATTTAAAAATGTAAACATCCATTAAGGGGCATAGAAATAATAATAATAAAAAAAAAAATCTGTTGAAACACCCTTACTTTGAACTGTTTTATTCAGTAAAGGACAGAAATCCCAACATTTTCATTTTATAGTCATGCAGTATTAGAAAACTACCCTATTTTTCCTGCTTAGTACAGAAGCACAGTGAAATAGGTTAGCTGTTTAATTTCTTAACATGATATTATCCTAACACTTGAATTACTTCACACAGTAGGATGACTCAGCTGGCAGAATAACAAACTTCCTGTTTGCTATACAATTCTCTTGTGACAGGCTTTTCTCAATTAGTTCAGCAGTCTCCCAGTGGGATACAAGCCCAGATAACTGAGTTTTATCCAACTCTGAAGGGCAATTCCTTATTTAACCACCACCTTACATATACTTTTACAGTGCAAGAAAATTCACTGCAAGCCTTATGCGCCTTTTGAGAAGCAGAAAATAAGAAGTGAGAAATAAGTACCTGTAAGGATTGTACTATTTGTTAGAATGTCTTCTGCATGAAACCCCATTTTTTATCTGCCTGCAAAATTTGATTCCCATCATTCAAAGGAAAACAAATAGTATAAAAAGGCACTACGCCTGTTCTAGATGACAATTCTTCAGGTAAGTACTCTGCCAAAGTGCCCACTGCACCTTAAGTATAACTGAGTTTGCAACTTAGATAATATTTTTATCACTAACAAGGTGTTTTAAACTGCTTGAAGTATCAGTTCCTCACTATGAAAAACAGTTTTTACAACAATATACAGGTGCACAGTGACAAAATAAATTTATTTTTTAAGGAAGAAGAAAGTGATGCAAGTATGGTGAAGGAACATACGTAAGATATTAGATGGATTATGATGATGATTATGTATGAAATGGAGTGAAGGTATTGCAATTACAGTCAAAAGGGTTCACATTCAGGGAATCCCTGAAGAATGGTGTGGTCATCAGATGTGGGAGATTCTGTTGACATCAGCATCACTTCTGCTTGGCACCAGAAATAGTTTTAAAAGCTTGCTGCACTAACATATTAGATTATCATTGAAGGTATGAGTTGAAACAAAGGCTTATACCTGCTGAGAGAGAACAAATTAATTTTAAGTAGAAAAATATAAATTGAACACGAAGACTGAACTGTTACAGCACAAATCAAAAGAATACACAATTCTAATGGAATGCTATGCCTAATTTCAAGCACAAATTTAAAAGATGAGATGATAAATTTTAATCAAACCCGACTGGCTACTCACAAGTGTGATACAACTTGCCCTGTTACAAGACTAAGCACAAAAGACACTGAAAAAACCACAAGAGTCTCAAGCCAAGAGGCACACAAGGAATGACCAGAACCATCTCCTTCTAGTCAGAGGCACTGAACAATTTTGGCTGCTGGCTAGCAAAATGCCACAGGACAGATAAAATCAGAGAGAATAAAACAGCACCTAAGGAAAACTAACAAAAAAAAAAAAACTGAGATCACATCTAATCAAGAAGAAAAACTGTAACATAGTTTTCTTTTCATGTGCCTATACATAAGAATAGCAGCATACCCAAACAGAACTCTAATCTTCTATAACTCCTGAAGTACCCTGAAAAAATGTATCTGAAGAAAACAGATTACTTGCATTTAAGCATGCATCTGGCATCTTTTGCATGTATTATTTGAAATGCCAAAAGAATAAGCTTATGCTTTCCATTCAATGCTAAAAAGTAAAGCAGAAACTATACAGTGGATGCAAACCATCAGAGATGACAGTAACATTTGAAGTTGCCCAGTAAGACACACATGCATTTTCAAATTACATTTTTCAATCTTCCACGTTCTTTACAGATAAAAACTACACAGGAAACTTTTGAATTTCTATTACTGGGGTGCTGGCCCAGTCACCACATGACAGGAAAAGCCCTTCACAGACATTCAGTTAAGCATATCAGCTCTCAAATTTAAGAAACACTTAGAAACACAGGCCCTAAAACTAGCAATCTACATGTTCTATTCCTGGCTTTCATGCACATAAACAGCTGAATTCAACAACTACCAGGAGCAGATGTTGTGCTGCCACCACTGAAGTATTATGGACTGATGTAAGCCTACTAGAGGAAAATGCAAGCTAGAACAACTCAGTCTCTTGTATCCATGAAAAGTTGCTTCCAATTGTGTTAGACACATGGAAGAAAAAAGTCACATTATCAGGGCATGAAGAGAGTAAGCTCATTCTAGCAGTCAGATGCTCCAGATCCCTTATTGCTGAAAGAGCTGCTAACAGTATACCTAATTATGAAGATAAACATTAACATTTAAATTTCAAATATTTGAATTACATGTATAATATTTTCAAAGTTTTAACCTTGCAGCTACACAGCTTTTTGAAGAGTGCGTTCACTATACCCTTCATAAGACAGATAACTATAACTGTCAGCTATTGTTCCAAAGCAGTTAATGAACAAACAAGTCAAGATTAAGGTAGACACAGAATGGTGAAGATTATCTACTTTTATACTGTTCTGTGAAAACAGCTTCTGCTGTACCAACACATTCAGGTCAGCTAAATAGTCAGGGAATGTACTGACTGGGAAGCGCATCATTTTTCACTCACATCAACACAACATGCCCTAATAGATGGATTATCAAACATGGCCACTCAATTTTTTCTTTTAAACCTGTACATAGAGGACATAGAAGTCACATCCCACAAAAAATATTGGTCTTCTAACTACAGTTTAACCCTGATGCACTTCAACATTTCATTTTGCTTTAAATAATAGAGGATGCATTGGCTTTTTCAATCAAGTGGTTCTTGCACTTAATGATTCTTACAACTTTTATCCAGCACTTTTACCTGTTCCTTGATGTCTTGCAACTGTTGCTGCAGCTTCTGTACATCTGCATTGACATTAGTGTTGTCTTTGTCCTTCTGCAAAACTGGAATGTTTCCACTTGCTGTAAGATTAAAAGAATATAAAGATACGTGACTACGCAGCAATGTAATGAACCACGAATAATTATTTCCAGGGTCACAGCTAAAATTTTTCAATTATCTGAAAAAAATGTTAGTCAACCATCTTTGATAATATAATTAAATTAACTAACCATCACTGCAGCTCAACAAAAAATTTCTTTGAGTTTAGTGGTAACACTTCTTTGGCAAGTATTTCCATAATAATGATGGTTGTAGTCCCTTAATGTTCTGAGAATTCTTATTTGTCAGTGAAGTTCCTGACATAAATATTTTTTGCATTGGTTTAAAGAAAAAAAAAGCCAAATTCCTTTACACTGAAATGACTTTTTTATCTTGACTTAGATGATTCCATTTGGTGTTCACATCTGCCCAAGTGTCTTGGAAGCAGTTTGTTCAAAATTTCAACAAGCTCAGATTAATACTCCCATATTCGACTGATCTGGGGAGCAGTATGACTATATGAAAGAAAAATTGTCAAGTCTTGGATTCCCAGTGTGAGTACTGAAAACCTGATTTTAATGACTATTCTTGTATTTATCTATTTCAGAACACTATGACAAGAACGAACTAATATTCCAATTCTCATAAACTCAATTGAAATACTGTGTACCACGATACACACACAGAGCAAAAGAAATTACTCAAATAAGTCCCAAGGAATTTAAAAACTAGTCGAAGGACAAGATGTAAGACTGGACATTTCCTCAGGAAAGTTGCTTGTCCTAGATGCAAAATACTTACCATTACTTCAGAGTACCAGAGGTAAAAAAATTATTTACTCATTTGCACAATCACAGACAATCTTCAGCTTTTATTTCTTAGGGCATTAGTAAGTGGCCAAGTCATCACACAGGTTTTGGATTCTACTCCGAATGCTGGAAGCAACTCTTCACTGTAATGACTGGTGGTGCTACTACATTTGCTGCTAGCGATGCAGAAAGTAGTGCAAACAGCAAAGGATACCTGTTTTCATTAAACAGCACTGTTAGCACTGATAGCACTGTTGTCATTAAGCTTTTCTTCAGAAAGGAGAGAAATACTTAGATCATTTAAGAGAATAAGTTGGTGGAGGAACATGAAAGAGTATGGGCTCTGGAGTCACTCACAAATATCATCACTGGTATCTTCTGTACCTTTCCCTCCGCAGCACATTATGAAAGGCACTCTTCGTTCAACCACTGCCCGACACTGTACACATTTCTTCATCAAGCTTGCACAATCTGAGAGAAGAGAGAAATAAATTAATTCTGAATCTTCCCACTTAGTTTTTCTTTTTTTCTATCCATGGGTTTGTTTATTCAGAGTAACTATACAGCAATGATTTAACAGATGCTTATAATACAAAGAACTACTTGAGTTTATCTTCACATTATTTTCTGCAAATCACACCTAAACAATATCCTGTTTGGCGTTCAAAGTAAATCTAATCCCTATCTCCTTTTAAGACATTTCAAGGGAAGAGGTTCCTCTTTATCCAGATGGACGTCTAGTCCACAAGAATTACAGAAAAGGTAATCACACATTTGAGACCAGAACTTCCAAGAATGTTTGGCCTATCTGCTTTTTTCTTTAGAACAAAAGATGTCACTAACTGTCCTAATGCTCCAGGGCAAAGAGATGCAGCTCTTTACCCTTAAGAGTAAACCTACATCTTTTGATATAATCCTAGAAAGTGGGCTGTAATTTTTCTACTAAAGGCAAGTTATTGTCTCACAAATGTTGAAAGGGTACTGTGACTCAAGAGAGTGGGTCCTACAAAATACACAAACTTGAAGACTCTTCCATCCTGCTTGAACAAGATGTCCAGAAAAAAATCTGGAAAGAAATAATCTACAACTGTTAAACCTTCTGCTGTCCTTGTTACAGCTTAGACTTGGTAACGTGTACTGTGCTGCTAAAATCCTTCACCACAGTAATCAATCTTTTTGTTGTCATCTTTCCTGGGAAATGATTCAAAAAAACTTCTCTCATCATCTTTCAACTGCAGACAGTGAAAGAGACCAGATCAGGCTAACTATAGTCAGTGATTCGATGTCAGCTGCCTCAGCCAGAACAGAGGAAGAAACCAGATTTCCTTAGCAAGTCCAAGTAAGCAGTAACTTGTGGGAACAATTACCCTCCCTCTTGTGTAGATCCTCATCAATAAGGACTGCTCTTCTCTAGGGAAATGACCCTTCAACAAAACCCTGAAATGTCTGGAGACAAGGTGATAGCTGCATTTTTATCCTCATATACTCAAAACCAAAGAATTTCTAGAGATCTCCTACCTACTTTACCATTACACAGGATAAATCACTGTAACTGGTGCTCTTTGCAAAGATACATGATGTGACTTTTGGGGCAAAATACAGCCCTTGTGCAAATTTGTAGATTAGTAGTGAAGCATACTAAGTATTTATTGACAATAGTTTTTTGAAACACCATTTGCTTATCTGAATGCCTTCAAAAAGCTGCAACAAAACAATAAAATTTCTTCTAATTACTACCAAAGTGTTACTGATATTCAGTAGGCTTCTATAAGGTGAGAAAGCCTACTCACAGTTAAATAATATAGATGAAAGAGGACACGCTTTCTAAAGACTTGAAAACCTCCACCCTGTCCTCCAATTATTACCAGCATGACAAATAATGCCAAAATTCTGATGATCACACCAGACTACCAAGTAAATTGAACCTGAAATCAGATTACTAATTGTCGCTGTTAACACAGACACAAGACATACACAAACATACAGGCTAATGTTTTTAGCAATCTGATTAAAAATGTTCTGTTTCACAATTACTCCAAAAAGAGGTTTTGTAAAGTTACTTACTCTCACAGGCACACATATGACCACAAGGCTGGAAGAGCACTGCTGCCTTTTTGTCTGAACATACTACGCATTCTTCAATCTGTAAAGAACACACCCATGTGAGCAAAGTGCATCTCCTGCTCTCTACATTAATTTGCAAGGCACATGGGCTTCAAGAAGCTCCATTTAGTGGGGTTTTTAACTCATTCAGCATCACAAAATGCAATTTAAATGAGTTCTCACGCTAACTTCTAAGAACAGGTTTTTGCTGGCAATTTTTGCACATTCAGTACAATGACAGGCACAGAGAAGCATTTAGAACACCATGTATTTCTTCTTTTCTCCTTCTTTATTCCATCATGGATACTTAAATTGGGGTTGATCAAGCTAGAGAAGGGAGTCTTCAGGAATAAGTTAATACAGCCTTTCTGTACTCAAAGTGGGCTTATAAGAAAGATGGGAACAAACTTTTCTGCTGGGCCTGTTGCAGTAGTACAGGGGGTAATAGTTTTAGATTAAAAGCAAGCTGATTTGGACTAGGTATAAGAAAGAAATTTTTTATGATGAGGGTCATGAAATACTGGAACAGGTTACCCGGAGTGGTGGTAGATGATCCACCCCTGCAAACATTCAAGGTCAGGCTGGACAGGGCTCTGAGCAACCTGATCTTGTTGAAGTTGTCCCTGCTCATTACATGCTACTAGATGTCAGTCAACATTACTGATTTTAAAGGCCCCTTCCAACATTCTATGATCCTATGAAATTCACTTAAAAGGTACTTATACAGAAATGTTTTAACATTCTGGGTTAGGGTTTCTTAACCCAAACTCAGAACTTCTAACTTCTTAGTCCTTTTGTGTGAGAGCTGTATATATCATGGAATCATCAAATGGTTCAGGTTGGAAAAAACCTTAGAGATCCTCCAGTTCCAACCCATGGCAAACAGAAAAGAGCATAATTAATTCCATCCAGTGAGACATGTGTAAGGCACAATACCACATAAAAGATGATGTACATTTCTTTGACCTCTTTTTCCCTGGTTTTTCCTACTTTTCCATTATAAAAGAAAAAGAACCAATAAATTTCAGAGGTTTCTACCTTTGTCCTAGACTGAACTTGTTCTTTACAGATGAGGCATTTTTTCACCCGTGGTGAGCACAAAGAACATGTGGCAATGTGGCCACATGGGCCAAACAGAGTATCTCTCTTCATGTCTGAACACACCATACATTCTTCTAAGGTTTCAGAATCATTGTTGATCATAGATGGACTTCGGGAACCAACCTGGCCACTACAAAGAAACCTTGCGTTAAACTTTTAATAATTAAAAAAACATTTAAAATGCACATCAACTGGCTGCTTATGTATCCTATGCACTTGGGCATCAATATATGATCATAAAGCGATCTGAACTGCCTTTTCCAAGAAGTACAGTTGATACTGCAGTGCAAGGTCACACACTCGGATAAAGCAGTTCAGAAACAGGACACACAAGTCAGGATATCGTCTTGTGAACGTAAGAAGCGCCTCCCTCTCGGCCTAAGAGCTTGCTTTACGGACAGAGACGTGCCTGGCGCCGGGCAGAGGCAGCCCGCGGGCCCCGCCCATGGCCGCGCCCCGGCCGCAGCGCCGCGCCGCGCCGGCCCGCAGAGGGCGCGCGTGCCCAACCTCCGCCGCGGACGGGGCCGGCGAGCACGGACACACACCGGCTCCGGAAGGAAATAAGCACCTTACTCCTTACCAGGGCAACGTCAATAACAACAGCCTCTCTTTGCCACGTTTTAAGAGTACAGTTTTGATTTCCATAGAGGAATTAAAGGTGAGACTCATTTGCGGCAACGGGTGGAGTGTAACTAGGACAAGATGAATCTTCTGATACTGCATGGACCTGGTAACACGGTAATTCCTGAAGACATCAGACCTACCCCCTCGTTCTCTTTTCACAGAATCATACAGTTGTCCAGATGAACAGGGACTCAGTACATGACCTTCTCAAAGCAGCAACAACACAGGATTCACATGTTCATACTGGGCTTTGCCCATTTCAGTCATTAGAAGTTGTATGGACAGATATTTCACAACTTTCCAGGCCAACCTGTTTGCAATGCTTAGTTATTCTTCCAGGGATTTTCCCCCGACTGCCTTGTGAAATTCTACCAATCCCCGCTGAAGACTGTCACACCTTCCCATTCTCCCCTCTCCCATACTAATATGCATGAAAGTCCTCTAAGACCTCGGTAAGTTTCAATTAATGTATTTGTGTATAGCATTCAGTGTACTATGAAATCCTAAAGAATTAAAAGTTAAAATATTAACCATACACAAAAAATCCCAAAAAACCTCAGTTAATCTGTGGAAAGCAGACATTTGGAAACTGTGTATTTTATGAATATACAAACCTGACTTTCTCTTTGTGACATTTAGCCAATGCTTTACAGAGACTCGGATCAGGGCAGAGATCAAGAGGGGACTGACCCTTCTTGTTACGAATGCCGAGGTCAGCCCCGTTGGCTGCCAGGAAGCAGGCAATCGATGCAGCACTCTTCTTCTCTGCTCCTTGAGTGCCAAGTCCCATAATTAACTGAAAGAAAACAAATACGTAAGCAAGAAAGACTCTCTAAACAGTTAAGGATTGTCTAGCTAAAAGAAAGCTACTTGACATGCACACATGCACATATATGTGTAAATGTGTAAGCCAAAAGAAGCATCTCTAGAACTAAAATCAAAACAATTGCTTCATTTTCAGTCAGCTATATACAGCTTTCCTTTAAGGAACTAAAATTCAGCAAGGAATAGTTCTACTGAAGCACTTAATCTCCTGTACACCTATACTCACATGTGAAGTGGCTGTCCTTCTACGGAAGCACTGTAAAGGGCAAAGTTCCAGTGGGTATATTCAGAACACACTTCCGTATATACTCAAATTGCTCAATTCAGACAAAATGCTATCACTCCATTTGGACAGAAATCATAGTTGAGCACATAAATGAATGCACATCTACTTTTTAGTCCAGCAAGTAAAGTACCTGCCCAAGAAAGTAACTGAATTTCAGTCTTTCTCAGCCTAGATGAGTTAAAACTCACACACTGTCCCAGTCTAATCACATAATGCTACTTTGACCTTTTACAGCTGTTATTATATCCTTGTGTTACTGCTTCATGGGGCTCAGCTAGTAACACTAAGAAGGCTCACTACCACAGCCCAGCAAGGAGTGGATTCCCCAGAGCATTGTGGGCTCCCAACATCTTTTTGCTCGATCAGATGAAATGCATTAACTATATCAGACTACAGAACTGCTAGCATCACTAAGAATCCCTCAGCAAACTACACTACACTGCATTCAAAAGGAAGAGCTTTGGTAAAGCTAGGGCAGCTCCAACTCAAGGAAATCCAGTTGCTTAGGGAAGCATTTTTTTAAACCTCAGTCTATGTTTTTTTTAAATTAGAAGCTCTTATATCAATATGTATCACTGAGGCTACAAGACTCTTGAAGGTCACGGTAAGAACAGTACAGCTCCGAAGGAAGCTCCACGAAAATCAGTAAGTTATGGATACGAATTGTTTTGTAGTGTTCAAATAACAGAAAATTTTCATTTATCAATTGAGACCATTTATCTGCACTTCAATTACAGCACTGTCTGAAGCAAAGCAGAAATTTTGATCCAGCTTCAGTCCTGGTACTTTGGACTGTATTATTAATCAGGCCAAGTCAGCACCCAGTGAAACTGATTTGCACCAAGGTTAGCGAGTCATTGTGGAATAGTAATCTACATTAGTCACAAAACCCTAGGTCCTAAAATGCCTCTGCATACTGTACAACTTGAAAACACCAGGACAATGTTGCATCCTACGACATTTCTCAGGAAGCCTGCAACTTTTCAGGCACAAAGAATGAGAACACCACAAAACAACCCATGAACAAAATATTTTCCATTGTGTCTCAGTGCCCAGTACAGCTGCAGTGTACCTGTGGAGGGGGCTAGCCCTGAAATGCATAAACACAGGCCAGTCCCAGCCAATTCACCAGTGAGGGAGAAGTCCCTGTGCAATCCACAAAAACCATACAAATATCACCTAAGTAATTGTAACTTTGAAACAGTAAACACTTTCCATTCGTTTCTTTCTTTTAAGTTAGGATTTAGGCAGTGGCATCACTTAAAAACATTTTAAGGGTCAGAAAGACACCTTAAAGACACTTGTATATTAAAATAATTTATACTAAATGACCTTGGGAATAATAATTATTTAGGATAAAAAGTAATCTAAGCCAGAACAGCACATCTGCGATAAAGCAATTCAAATGACATTCTTGTGTTGCTGGAGACTATACTTCAGAAAATTTCTCCTCCTCCCAGCTGCGCCATCACCACAAGATGCTGAATAGAAAACTTAAAAATTATTTAAAGAAATTAGGTTCAGTGCTCATAGTACTTGAGCACAGAAATGTTTTTCAGAATGGTACCTAAAATGAGCAGGGCTTTGTGTACTATCAAGATTGCTCACTACATGCATTTTAAAGAGTCTTTCAAAAAAATCAACTGAATAAACCTGACAAAAATTGTTTTATGCGTAACATAAAATATCCTGAGTTGGAAGGAATTCACAAGGACCATCAAGTTCAGCTCCTGCCCCTGCACAGGACAGCCCCAAGATTTGCACCAGGCACCCAAGATCATTGTCCAAAAGCTTCTTGAACTCTGGCAGGCTTGGTGCTGTGACCGCTTCCCTGGGGAGCCTGTTCCAACAGGCATAATGTCGGCATTCAGAAGGAACTACTAAAAAAAACAATTAATGTTAAGTAATTACCTCAATTTAGTTCCATGTAGGAATAAAGTTAATGATAGTCAGTAAAAAGTATTGTTTCATATTTTAAACAGTGGTCACATAAAAAAGTAACAAATCATACAATTTTAATGAGTTGCTGTCCAACCAACTTCATCAAGTATGAAAAAATGCTAAAATGCTGCAAGATTTTTCTTTTCAGTTTATTCAACTAAAACAAAAATATAAATAATTATTTCTATTATATATGTATGTAATACAAAGAGGCACCCTACAGGTTTCAGTAGGTTGGAATCTCCAAGACAGCAGTCCAAAATTAATTAAAACTTAGTCAAGCAAAAATAAGCTCTAGAAACCAAATATTTACAGAGATGTGTTGCTATCACATAGCCTAATGAAATTGCATTTTGCAACCTTCAAAGGAATTAATGAAGAATAATAAAATCTCTCAAAACAAGCCCTCAATATAAGTCATCACATTTACAAAAAGAAAGCCTTACTGATTCCAGGTGAAATTATTAATCCTATTTATGGTCCATAAAAAGATCCATCACCTGTATTTGCAATTCCACCCAAGACAAATTACCAATGTGTCCTTGGATAGCTTTAAAGGTCCAGATGCCTGCACATATTTTCACAGCGTCAATTCTATCTCTTTATTGATACTCCACTTTGGGCCAAAGGCCACTTAATATTTAAAACTGTTTAATGGCAAAATCTAGTCTATAGAATTTTTAACTTACTGTCATTTAAATAAAGGTAGATAGGTGCAGGTATTATTCTCATTTTCTATTTTTCACAAAAAGTTTTCAAGATAATTTGATTTGCTGATCATCTTAAGAGTGTTTTCAGGTATATTTACTCCACCTTTTACATTTCACATGAAATAAAAACAGGCAAGTTTTAATCTCTTCTCTGCCATAACTTATTCTTCTCCACAGCACTTAAAGCATCCAAATTTGATAGTTTGGCAAAAATTTTCTCTGCAGCTAAATAAAGTGCAAAGAAGTGACCAGTAGTTTGGTCATGCTAATAAAGGATAGGAGGTATTGGTTGATCGTGATTTTTTTAAAACTTTAAATATTTTTAGGTGATGAGAGACACAATGATGAAGGAATTTTTTTCTTTGTCTTTTTTCTTTTTTTTTTTTTCTTTTTTTTTTTTTTTTTTTTCCTTTTTTTTTTCTTATTACTTCAATAGAAATGAAAAAAAAAATACAATTTTGTTTTAATTTTTTTCTTTTGCCTGCTCTTTGTCTTATTACTTCAATAGAAATGAAAAAAAAAATACAATTTTGTTTTAAACCAAGGATACTTGTCAAATTCAACTAGAGATAAAACTTTATTCTCCAAAATATAAAATCCCCCCCAAAAGAAATGTAAAAGGCGATGGAAAAAAACCCGCTTCTTCTGTTAAAACCATCAAAACTAAATACACAATTCTAGTTTCATTGTGGAGTCTGTTAATAAGACTGGGCTGAGAAAACAATTTATGAAATCCCAAATCTGAGGAAAAAAATTTCCCTTTTATTCATTTCACAGTTAAACACATGAACATGAAGCATTCTAGACAGCTCTCACACAGTCAATTTCAGATCACAGAAACAACTGAGCTGTAACCGCTCTTCTCATCTCAAAAAGGACACATGCATTTTCTTACACATGCTAGTCATACTTCAAATGCTTTTCAAAGCTTATTCTGGTATATTTCAATGACAGTCAGTAATCAATTTGGAAAAAAACTTTTGTACAGTGGAATTATTGTTTTGAACAAAGATTTTTCATAAAGTTGGTATATTTGTGTTTTCTTAATGAAATGCAAAAGCAACAACAACAAAAAATTTCCTAATTTTAACCCTCAGTTAAAATTAGAAAAAACATTATACTGGTAACTAATGGCTCAGCAGCTCTGATCCAGCTGTTTACTTTTCTCAATCTGAATGGCTCCATAATTTTATTTCTTCTTTGTCCCTCAGGTAAACTGTAAATGTCACCTCTATATATGGGGTTCATGGAGCTTTTCAGGTGTAAGAGTTTCTTTTTTTCAGTAAAATTATTCCCTGGAGGCTTTTTTACTATTTCCTTACTACAGCACGATTTCTGAAATGAACTCTGTCAAAAATATAAATAAATACACAAAAATAAACACACAAAATTAAGAATGCCTTGTTCTAACAGAACATACTTTCAGAAAGTCATAGAAGCAACTAAAGTTATAAAGACATGCAAGATGCTGAATTACAGAAAACTACTTCAGTCTTATTCTGTACTGTAAAACTGTTTAATTCTCTTTCCAAAACAGCTACTTTGATTTGTTGGCAGTCATACATGTTCACTACAGAAGATTAATTTGTAGAAATATTTTTGAGCTACACAACCATCTTTTTATTCAAAAAAGGTAATGTGAAAAGCCACATAGAACATGATTTCTGCCTACACTGCAGTTTAATGCAGAATGTCTACATAAACTTATGCTGCCAAAAACCAGTCTGACAGTACAGAACTAGACAAAAAGACAAATATACAAGCAGAAAAAAAGAATAAATAAATGTGTTTTATTTACTGTGTTCTTTGATGGCTCCCAAGCAGTATCTACCTTGCCCACATCTTGCATGTCTTGGAGTTGGCGGAGCTGTGACAGGGTGTGGTGTCTCAGGGCTTCATGCAGGGGAGTATCCCCATCTTTATCCTGAATATCCAATTTAGCACCTGCACGGACCAAGAGCTGAAAAGAGAGAGAACCCAAATTAAAAAAATAAAAAAAACTCCCTATTTTTCCTTCTAGAACTAATTTCAGAAAATTATGGTTTAGCAGTCTCTAGGAGTTCAAAAGGGCTACTCCTACCTTTCTACAATTCACAGTTGAATTAATTTAAATCTATTTTCCATACCTAGAGCTAAGCCCTCAACCAAAGCATTTATCTGTCTCAAATACCAAGCTTATTTCAGCAGAAGACTAATGCTTGCCTGTGCTCTGAGTGCTACAAAAGACACAATTTTAGAGGATCCTTTCTACTTCCTTAGACTTTAATTTTTATAAGACAGCCTACAAACAATGTAATTTATTACAGCAATATGTACAATACTTGAGATAGGTATATACTCTTTACTATTAGGTTTCACTGACCTCAAAAATCACGACTTTCACACCATGCTAAACTTTACAACTTAATTTACAGTGTCTTTGTACTAGCAAAGTAGTTAAGCATGTACTTCCGTTTACCCTAATTCAGGAGAAGACATAAAAACCAATGACACTATTAAAAACCCTCTCAGAACACTTTGGAAAGTAATGAACTGTAAGACTTGTCTCTAAAGCTAATTTTAGACACCCGTTCTTGTTCACAGGACACAGAACAAGCAGAAGGCTACACAGGCTCTCCTATTCCTATGGCCTTTGCATACAGCCCTTCCATAATTCAACCCACCAGAACGTTCTTAAATACAGTGTTGAACTAAACAAAGCAATACATACTGACAAAAAAAATACCAACTGCCCCTAAAAATTAAACCCCATCACTGTCACCATTCAGAAACTTGTAGGCAGCAGCTGAAGTTTAACTTCAATTTTTGAACTTCTGCTACTCTGCACAATTGGGATTAGCAGTAGAGGCAAAAGGCATCTAAAACCAGGAATATACAAAGAGGGATCTCCCACTTTGGAACCCAGATACTTGCAAGGAGCTCAGTTTCTCAGAACCAAAGAACCTCAGAATTCAGAACAGCCTAAAAGGAATTCAAAGCCTAGTTTTCAAGGAAGTATCTGCCTGCAATTATTTGCAGCTTATCATTTTCCCCAACCTTCTCTTCCACAAGTGAAAACAAGAAAACCAGCTAATAGTTGACACAGTCTAGTCTCAACTTCTTACACTCTCTAAATGGATTTACTCTGGCCCAATTTCTTTTCTCATATTCATATCTTGTGTCTGCCACTAGCTCTTTACTGCTTTGAGTTTCTCCTGGAATCCTTGACTACCACAAAACTTCAGAGATTTTGCAGAAGTTTTAAAAAGCTAATTAAAAAAAAAAAAAAAAAAAGGCAAACCACTGCCCTTTGTCATGACAGGAGGACTCTTAAAAGAACCATGCTACCTTTGACCACTATTCCACAAATGCCTGAGGATACAAACCCAGTCCTGGAAGGTATCCAATAGGAATTAGTTTTGAAATAAGGAGCCAACATGTTCTTTGCATGGCTACATGAGCTATTTTAGGACTTCTTAAAGCTAATCCAGTTCTGAAAAACGGATACTCTACGGGGTCATTCACTTAAACATTCTCCGATATAAGCACATCAGTCAAACACACATGCTAGTTATTCTACATGCCTTCCTACTCATCTGCTACATTAATATTGTATTCCCAGGTACTGTGTAAATTCTAGAAGGGCACAAGAGTTCACCAAACACAGCTGCCAAATAGCTTGCAGGATGCAAGTGGCACTGACTCTAGGAAACCATTCTTCTGGTAGCAAGCAGTTCCAGATATAGGGCCATATCACATGTTTCACTGTAACGGGATCACACCCATCAGCCCTCAGAGAGGGAGAAACCTTATGGTAAAATAACACTTTCACAGAATGCAGGTCTGCATAGGGGGGACAATTCTGTGTAGGCCTGAATAAGAGACAGCTTTTCATACAAGATCACTCTATAAAGACAAAAAATTATGTCAAAAGCCAAGGGCAGGTTGATGTATCCACTCTGAGAGCAGCAAGTGCCCTCTCTGAGCCTCAAAAGCCCACAGTAGCAAGGCAAACAGTCATACAGGTCCTGTATGACAGTGCACACAGGCCAGAAACAACAAGCTGTGCCAGTCACACTTCCTGTGCTAGTAACAAAGCTTTGTTAAGTTGAAGCATTTACTTTTGCACCCATGCAAACAAAAAACCAGGATAGCATTCCTTTCACCAGTAAGGTACTACTGTTCACTGCTTATAGGTCTCCCAAGTTAAGAGCAGGAAATGTCAAACACTCACAGACTGAAAAGTAGTTAAGGTAAATAAAAAGATGTTCCATGTTACAATTTGCGAAAGCTATGGGCAAGAACAATTACTCATACAGCAAGACACATCAGAAATGCTATTTGAAGATCCCCTTACAGCACCACAAGATTCAGACAAGTAACAGCCAAACACATTTTTCCTTACTAAAAAAGAATGGAATTGGCAACCACACAGAGGAAACCATAATGTACATGTACAAAAATTTAGCATGCCTCAAGTGGCGTTCATATTGCTGACTGACCTTCTGTGCAAGTTGGCAGACTTCTGAATTAAACAAAATCCATCAAACAAACATGCAGTGACTGTATGTTGTAAAATAATTTTTTGAATGTTCATGAAGTATTCATATTTTAACAGCCGCCATCAGCTTTAGTCAAATGCCATTAACCATATGGCTTACTGAAATAAGATACTTACCCTAACAATTTGTGTATGCTGTCGTTCAACAGCGAGATGAAGAGCAGTTTGCTGGTTAACATTCTGGATATCCAGGTTAGCACTGCCCTGCAAGATATTCAAAACATTAGAGCATTATCACCCCAGCAATGTATCTACAGGCAAGACAGTCCATTAGGACACTGACTATGACCCTGAATACAATTCCTAGTTAGAGGATTTGAGAACAGAAGTGATTAGATGCTTCAATTATTCTCTGTACAGATGTTGATCTGTTGAATGAAACTAAGCATCCAATTTTTCAGTCCCTCTGCACCATTAGGCCATTTTAACAATCTCAAAGAAAAATCTGACCTTTAGAGCTCAACACATCCTTCCCTCCTCCACTGCTTCTGCATTGCAACTGCAGGTGCAAAGCAGCCAACTATTTTCACATCAGATGGTCAACCAAAGCATGACATTTAAATCCTCCTGAGAAGAGTCCTACCTGATGCACCAAAAGTTCAGCCACTTCCACATGATTATTAAGAGCTGCCAGATGTAAGGCAGTGTAACCATCATCTTTTTTCTCATCAACAATCCATGGTCGTGGTAACTTGGACAACAACACGCGCATTGCGCTGAAAAAAATAAGCAGAGATGGCACAAACACCCCTACAACATATGCTGAATGACAACAGTAGAACAACATTAGTTCTCAGAACTATGCAGTAGTGACTAAAATAATTTTAATCCTTTGTCAGACAGAGGGAGTGGGTGAAAAGCTATACCAACAGTTCCAAAGCAGAGTAATTTAATGTCCACTTCCTTCTCATTAAAGCACACAAACAAACCATACATGCCTGGATCAGTGTGAGGATCAGGTTTGTTTTTAAGACGAATCCTATCTAGCAGGAAAAATTACATTAAAAAAGCATTCAAACAAATTCTGAAATGTAGACAAAAGAATTTTCTCCCTCAAAATCTTTACAGAGTCTTTAAGTATTTAATGACCAAGTTCTACTACATTAGATTTCTTTAAAATCATCACTTTGTAAACTGATGCTGTGGGCTGTAACAGTTAAAACTCAGTTTCTGAGAAAGAAAATGGAGGAAGATCTCTTAAGCACAGAGAAAATAAATGATGAAACTGTGAATTGAGTAATAGTGGGATATTTTCTTAACATATAATGGTTGAGTATAACATACCATGGCAGTGTCAGGTAGTCAGGGGGTAGGGTGGGGAAAAGCAAGCTGATTACTACAAGTATTACAGCAGACTAAAATCCACGAAGTCCAAAGTTAACCTTCAGTTAAGGGTATTAACAACACAACGCTAGATAAACAAACTGCTCAATCTTATATTCTCTGAGAAATACAGTTTTCTTAAGTTCACATGTCTTCACTTAGCTTTTGGAATACATAAGTTACCAAACTTAAACCCCTTATTGTCTTATCTTTATAAACAGCATATGCAGCTCCCTTATGACAGTTCCTTAAAGACAAACACAAAACCAGAAACTGCTACAATCCTGTGCCAAGAAACCTCTTCTGTCATCTGATGTTTCTCTACTGTTGAAGGAACAAGATATATACAGGAGAAACAGGGCTTCCACACAAAATTCAAACTTAAAATCCAAGTAATCCTTGATAATGCAAGTGGAACCACTAAGTCACACAGTGCCTTTGCAAGGCACATGATGTATGTGAATTGAAGAGTTCTTCATTAGAGTTCTGGTATCAAAAATGTGGGATCTCAATAATCCTCAGAAATAGCCTCATAAATTGAACGTCTCAGCTTTTACTTAAAAATACCCTCAATAAGGTATGAATGACTGCCCTGTCAAGTAACAACTGAACTTCCAGTTCATTCCAATCATCTGTCGCCTTGAACATCCACAGTGAGGTGAAGTGCTATTCACTCCTAAGCTCTCTTTTAGAACAAGCCAATGAGTTTCCTATTAAAAAACCTAAAAGCTGTGTCTGGGCACAGCTCACCCTAATAAGTCCTCTTTGAAAGCAGAGAAGTCTGTGAGGTAACTACTGTACCAGTAAGGAAGTGCACTCCTTCCTACACTCTGCTCAGATGCTCCCATAAAAGACTGCTTAATAAGCATCTCCATGTTCTCCTGCTACTGAGTGCACAACATAAACCTCTGGTTTCACACTTACGCTGCAGCTGCCAGAATGGTGTATTAAGTGACATTTTTTTGCCCCCAGAATCAGTGTCTAAAAGAATTGCAACTAATTAACTGCATTTTCAGGCCACAGGATTATACAAACCCACAGGAAACCAACTGCTACGTGGAGCATCCATAGCCAGAATGTTCTGGATGTTTGTCCTCCTCAGAGTGGACAGAAGCCATTTTCAGCCTCATAGGATTTTTTGTTTTCCTGTCAGAAAGCTTCTCACTTCCTCACAGTCCAAATCACTTATAACACAGAAACACAGGACAACAACACTCAACAGATTGTTACATTGCTCATTGTGTGCCATTGCTCAGCTTCTATTCATAACACCTTCTACAGCCCTCTCATGTGCTAGGGAGAAAAGACTAGAATACATCAGAAAAAAAAAAAAAACGAACAATGGCAACATTAATTCTTTGAGAGAATCACTTACACAGGATTTTTCAAAATTAACAACATAATTTAGTAAAATTCAAGTTGCCAAAGCTTAATGAAAGGTGGCAAAATTAACCAGTACCAGCTGCACTAATAAACATAGTGTATTTTGTAATGCAATGAAGCCATATTTTCAAATCTTGGCACCATCAGAACTGTGTTTAGCTGCTTTAGGGAGGGAGCATGTCTGGTGTACTGTGGTTTGCTTGGTATCTGGGCACATCACCACACAGCTCTTCAGAATGCTGGGCTGATACAAAACACACAGTACCAACAGCACAACAAGCCTTCTATAGTGGCTTCCCACAGTGCATCATGACATGTAAGCTCTTTATCTTCACCTGCCAGCCTCAGTGCTTCTGAAGACCCCATAAAGCTCTAGGGTATCTACTGTGGATACTATGAAAAGCACCACAAAAAATTCCTGAAAATTCCCTATGACTGACAGAAGCAATATGGCTGTGAGCAACCAGGATAAGGTGGGGCAACAATAATCTAACAAACAAACAAATAAAAAAAACCAACAACAAATTTTTCTTAAAACTGCAACTACAACTAAGGAACAATGTGGAAGGGCATCAACACTAATTACAGCCAGCTTGTCTCCAAAGTAGCTGTAGTCACTAAACAAGCTGTCCTAACCAACTCAATGGTATTTTACATCCTTTTCTTCAATAAGGAGGTAAGAAAATTGCCAACTCCACCAATAAATAAAATTAAAAATACATTGACACATATAATCAGATTCCTCAATACGCAAATTTACTTCAGAAATACTACTGACATTTCTTTAATACACCTAATTTTTGAAACAAAAATAAGAAACCAACTGACTCAGCATTTTGTTTGCTGTCAAGAAAAATAAAATCACTCATCTTAATACTTGTGTGAGTGTTACCCTTACCAGATCATCTTTCAAATCTTTAGTTTGCTGTCTTACACCAGAAAAATGTTTATCTGAAGTTTGACTGAAAAATATTTGGAGGTATCTTGCTTTCAGAGAAATGAGATGCCTGCTACATTTCTGAATGCATTTAAGATGCATTGGTCTTACTGGAAAAACAGAAGGATCACCAAAACAAACAAATGGCTTCTGTGTGGAATAGATTTTTATCTTACTGTTCACAGTAAATAATCAAAGAGCCAGGAACCACTACTCATTTGTTTCTTTTTATTCAGAAAAACACTGTATCTCTTCCAGACCATTACAGGACAGCAGGCTAGAAGGACTATTTCATGGAATGACACCTTAAATTCTGCAAGATATTAATATGCTACAATGGTAAATTCAGCTCAGTGGCTGCATCCTCCTCCTCATTAGATGAGAGGTAGTTTTTTTCAATTTTTACAGGATTTTCTAGAGCTACTGCCAAAATTTTGACAGCTAAGAGGCTACCATTCAGAGCAGCACTCAGTGGAACAGGCATATATCATAAAGTCACATTAAAGAATTCATGTTGCCAATTACACAGTCATTCACAATTCCTCTTCCCCATGAAGTATTACAGAAGAAGCTGGATTGTATTGCTCTGTTTTTAAGACCACAACATAGATGTGGAATCTTGCTCTTATCTTGTGCACATTAAACAAACCACAGACTGCTTTCACTGTAGTTGTATTGCAAAGATCAAGAAATGAGCAAATCTATTAGTAACCTGATCATGAAAACAGCTAAAGAAAACTTTTCAAACTATTATCTTCAGTGTACTCAACTGTAACAGATTACATGCCTGAGGAGCTGCAAGATTACTGATCAAATGCTTAAAACTCTTAATTGAAACACAGAATTTCATTATGCTATTTGTACATTATTACTAAAGCATCACCCATAAAAATTTTTTTTAATAGGCAAGCTCTGGAATTTGTTGGTCTGCAGGATTTTCAGCTTAGCAGGAAGCTCATAAAAAGATTTTGGGCATTTTTAACCTGGATGCCCATTTGCAACTTCTGAAAATTTCTAATGGAACAACAAGATAAAAACTTCAGTGAGAGTTATCTGTAAAGCTTTAATAGGGATAAGTAAACTATTGCTTCTTTTTTAGGAGCTAAACATGTACTCAATCAAAAAGGACTGAGAAAGCTTATGGGTGCATAGGGGGCTGATATGGAGGTATCTGCTGCTTTCCCAAAAAAGATGTTGGGGGTACACTGACTTATACTGCCCAATGTAATTTATTTCCCATAAAATAACAGCCTATACTCTAATAGTTACAAGTGATTTGGCCAAAGGAACATCCACTAATATGATGCTACATTTAATTTGAGATGTAGAACAGTAACAGCAAATGTTGCTGTTGCATGTATCTTTATTTGATCGAGCCACATGAGTAATACTTTTTTTTTCTTTTTAAATTCAGGTTTTTATGGAGCCTGGACCACAACTTAACATATCCAGGACCGTGGAATCACTTGGGTTGGAATAGATCTTACAAATCATCTCATTCCAGACCTTGCCATGGAAATTCAGCAGTATGAACTGTGCATTTGCAACATAAGATATGTCACAGATCTGAACAATAAACTAATTTTCTTTTAGCCACATGAAGGCACTTGTTTCAACACCGGTTAGCAACATTAGATATACAAAAGAAATTATTCTTATGATGTAAAGTTAGCATATGGTGTATTATTAATTACTAACCTACATATAAAATGTTGGGTTTTATGCAGCACTTTGCTCACATAATTTTTACAGATACTCATCAGTACTGAGAATGCAACATACAATAACAGATTTGAAAATCTACAAGACTATAAGATTAAAGAAAAACAATTCCAGATTCCGCAGTCTTAACTGCAAAAGTATCCTTGCACCCTGTTTTAAAAAAGACTAGAAAAGAAAAAAAAAAATAGAGAAGATTATCTGCCACCAACTGCAATTTGACTGCAGAATGAGGTGAATTAAGATGGTTGAGGGTTTGTAGGATAGTGGTGGAGTGGGTTTGTTTGGCCTTTCATGGTTTGTTTGTTAAGGTTTTACAGAAACAAATACTTAGGCACAACAAATCAGAAAGGC